ATCTATCTTATGCCACCCCTAAACCCTAAACCCTTGTGCCACCTGCAACTGTTAATTCACTATGGTGTTCTAACAATAACCCAAGCACACCAATGACTAAATCTTAAGTAAACTAGCATGGCCCATCTGTGGAGAATCATGCCCATCAATCTAGACAAATTGAAGGTCTAGCCCTCGGAACTTGGAGGCACTGGTTGTTCTAGGAGGACCCTTGAATTTTGAATGCTTCTAAGTTCTAAATCTCCCAACTATATGAGCATACATAAAGATATGATTGAACAGAAAGGTGGACCTCACTTTCAACCAAAGCTAGAATGTCATTGTCTTCAGTGACATTTTTACTCAAATAGATACCAAAATAATGTCAAATTCAATTCTCAATCATAACCCAATGATGATCAGGATATGGACACTAGATGTGAAGTTTAGTCTCCACAAAGTACCTACCAAATAATGATGAAATCAAGACTATAAGGTAAGCTTAGTTGCTCTGGGTCAAGCTAATCTAACGAAAATTCAAAGTGACATCTTGCTGGTTCAGTCTTTTGTAGACGGTCAGCTGTAGTTGTCCGCTTGTCCTAGAACTAAAAGGAAAAAATGAGGTACCATAAATTTTATCAATGGTTGCAAAACAATGCTTAACATAGTTTAATAAAAATCTATTACCCATTAGGTTTCTGATCTTTAAAGTCAACCACTCACAGCAGTGATTATCCATAAAGAATACACCAGTAATCAACATCTCAAATAACCATGGCTGAAACAACAGGTACGAGTCCAAACTCAGGTGTCAGAGCTAATTACTTTAGTTTGCAGCAATATATCATCTTTTTCTAACCTAAAATAGCCATATAATAATTAAGGCACCTTACCACAAATAGAATGCGAAAGTTTGTAACTGCCAGCGTACCCGCCTCATCGGTGTTTACTAGAACAACTCCATGCCCCTACCAATAATAACAAAAGGATAAATTGTTAGAGAAATCAAAGAAAACTAAAACATTATATGAAGGTTTACACATATGGCAAAGTTTGTAATAAAGTAAATAAAAAACAATCACTCATCATAGAAATACAATATTTTCCATTTAGTAGCTAGATAACAAACAGTTTATCAATAAAATGGTTGATGACCTCCTATCGCAATTGCCCTATGTTCAATCAATTATCCTGTGAAACCCTGATAGGGGCTGAACCAGAGTTAGAAACAAGAGGGCAGCAGTGGCTTCAGCAATATATTAAGACCCCCTCATTAGTTTCTTACTTATGTCATAGAAAGTGAGCTCTCAACCCGGCAGACCTTCCAATCACCAGTAATCGTCCCATCTTTCTTTCCACATTTCTTGGGGCATCCTACGAACTTGAAAGTGTATGAAGTCTCATATTCGACTGTTGCACACGAGCGATAGAGATTCCATTCAACCTATGTTGACCTATGTTGATACAGGCCAGAAATAACCTACATATGGCATAGTCATAATGTAAACCCTGAAGGTACATTGCAAGACTTGATTATTTTTAGTAGAAAATTAGAAATATGGAATAGTTAGAGGAGTTGTTCAATCTCTTCTCGTACTTGCTTCCTCAAGGAAGCCTCTTTCTCTTCCTCAAATTAGGAAAAGAAGTAAAAAGAGGATCATACCCTATCAATTTTGTGCTTAGAAACCCAACAAAACCCTAATGCATAAGATGCTGAAAACAAAGCTATTACTGAAAATATTCAAGCCAGAGGCTACGAAAGATGTAATACTTCAGAAGCAATAAGGTTCACAAACTATGAACTTTATAGTATGAAGTATTTTCATATTATAAGTATAATGAATGGATCAAAAAGAAAAGTATAATCACAAGGACAAGGGGTTGATGCTGACCATTTTCCAATGGATCAAAAATTGCCAAAAGAATTGCTGGAATTCATAGTGTACAGAAACTTTTGTGAAACCAAAGTAGGAGGAGTAATAAAAGTGTGTTGAATCTGCCTGCCCACACAGTAGCCTAATTAGCTTTCCATAGCAATTCAGTGCTGCCATGTGAATGTGAATCGAATTAATGCAACTCCAATTAAATGGACACACCAGGATAATTTTGGAGCATTATACTGGATGAGGGTATCAAAGAAGGAACAAAAAAGCCTAAGCATATATAGAGAGGTGGGGCACAGCCTCCAGGTCTACTTGACTCAAAGGCACTCACAGCTTCTGAAGCTCTCTATCTTGCTCCACTTTAACTTTTCTTCTATGATGGTGATACAACAAACTGAATTCTCAAGCAAACAATGAAAAGGATTTTTTTTTCTTCAGCTATTTTTTACTTTTTTCCCCTCTTTAGTTTTTTTCCGTTTATTAACTAGCAAAATTCAGATGAGTGTACAAAATGAATCTTAATAAAGAAATTGTCTTCTAAATTTTCTTATAAACTGTTAGAATTATTTTTAAGTATACAAATGTCTATTGTCATGTTCTACCATTTACTATGATGATCTGTACAGATTTTATAATAGCTGAAAGTAAAAGTGTATATTTACTAGGTCAGTAATGTCAGATCACATTGCACTTTTTCAGACTTGCCGTATTAGTATGTGTATCTTGGTGTATTCATGTCCAGGAATGTTAACCATACTCATAACTGCTCAGCAATTTATCACATTATTGAACAGTCCATGGTTCACATGAACTACTTAACTAAATCAACAAACAAAGAATCATAGCTACATGATCTGTTCCTTCCTTGCCATTTCGGCATTTATCTATCACCAAGCCTTATAGTTAATAGAAGATCTGGTTATCAAATACAAGACAAACTTCCTTTCATCTATATGCTACAGGAATTAAAGAACAGGCGTTCAAGTCTTGCATATTTAATACTCAGCCAACCACATGGATATAAAACCTAATATGATGCCTGCCTACAATGGAAATCCACTAGAAGACTTGGTGTAGCAAACTTCACGATGACTGCATAAATGAGTCAGACCATTAAATTCTCGTTTCACAATGTAACTCATTTCATTTTTTTTCTTGTAGAGTAATGATAATTTGACACTAAATTCTGATGCATGTCACAGTTCACGCATCTGAAAAACAAACATCAATCTGTTCAGTATACTCTCTCGTACGTAGAGCCTGTTTTATCTAGAGGTCATATGATGTTGTCACCCTCTGCAAGACTCTACAGAATACTTGCCACCACCTCAATCCCAAGCAGTATATCATCCAGCAAAAACCAACAATCATAAGTTTCCCATTTCTGAACTATGATCAAAGCTTAGTCAAACTATACCCTAACTTTTTCCCCAAGATATTTCCTTGTCGAAACAATTATCTTAAAAGTGCCTTACGTCCCAAAAATTTCACTAGCATCTGGTTGGTCGGAATTGAAGTGGCTAGCAATGTTATGCTTATCGTACTTAAAATGTAACTCGCTAGGGCCTGGCCACACAACATGCTCAAAGCAAAGCTACTACTGAAAAGGAGCAAGCTTTATATATGTTAATTTTCCATAAGCGAAAAGAGTTCCAGCAGCCACGAAGAAATCCATGGAATTCGGTCATGATGAATCAATGGATCGAAAGATTACCCAGAAATAATTTATTCTGGTCCAGAATGAGATAAAGAAAAGGGTTGAATCCAACTACCTGTACGATAACGTCCTCGGCTTCCAATAGGAATTCGGTCATGCCATGCAATTGTGAATCGGACCGGCGCAACTACAAAAACATCGGCACACCGCCCAATTTGGTAACTCGGTCGATGAGGGCACGAAGAAGAACAGAGAGCCAACCCTACGCATATACCTCTTCCGGAGTCCACTCGACGACGAGAGATTCCCAACTGCCAGAGCCCTCCATCTCCTTATTCCCGGCCTCAACGGCGGTGGTGCGATGAACCGCGGGGCGTCGATCTAACGAACAAGAGAAGGCTTTTCTTCCGCGATACCTTCCCCTACCGCTGTGTCTTATTTCTTCTCATTTCTTCAAGCATCGTAGACGTAATAAATAAATATATTTAGATAAAGAAAATGATAAAACGGCGTAGGGGAAACGAATTGCTATCCCCCAGTGGCGTGACGGAGGGGGGAAACGTAGGCTGCGATGGATACAGAATATTTCCAAAAGGGGACGGATGGCGGGCTTGATCGATGACCGACATAGGGGGCTTGATCCGGTTCAGGTCCTCCTCCGCGTCAGCCGTCTCATCTCCGGTTCAGGATAGGTTCGTCTCGACCAAACCGGACCAGATTTTCGAGACTCTGACTCGATTGTTCGGTCCGACCAATTGGGGAAGCACACGCACCGGTCCGCTTTTGGTGTTGATGCGATTTACGCGATCGTAGCTCATGCGAAACTTATGGACTTGGATACATTTTGGTGTTAACGGCGCATAAGCTTACAGATGATAATTTAGCTCAATTATGTGCAATCAACTTCCAAGTTACCAAATCATTCTATCGGTTTAAACTCTTACAGATGTAATGATATTGATCAAGATTTTAAGAATAATATTTGAGCCTTAGATGATTGTTGTGCGAGAATTAGAGGAGATACAATAACGCTGAGAACATGATGCTGCTGATCCAACATTGTTGCTTTCTCTAATTCCAAATGATGAAGTCAAATTTAGCTATCCTTCCAAGCTGGAAGATCAAAACTAGTTTAAGATGCATGCAACTAGCAAAACCCTAATTGAGATCAGCATCTTTCTAAAGCCATCCTGTGCTAAAAAGCTATGATGTTGACAATTTGAAAATTATTTTAGATATTATAAATTTCCAACAAGTTGTTTTTCTTTTATGAACAAACTAATCATCAGCATGGTTTCTATGAGATATTATGTTGGGATGGTTCCTAACAAGGGTGTCTGTATAGAGAGGATCTTGATGTCCCAAGGAACATATGTAACATATTAAAATTTAAAGGGGCAAATATATAACTCAAGACTTTGTAATGCATCGACTTGTAAAAAAATCACAAAAACAAATAAATAAATCACTGGAGTTGATAATAGCAGTGAGAACATATAATAATACTTTTTTGTAATTTTTCCACTTTGCGAAATTAAAATCCAGTTGTCATTCGACATTATCCAATAATCAATGATCAACCAAGAAAATGAGTACATAGTAGCATGGTCTGATGAATGCTGAACCAAGCATGATACCTGCGGTTTCTGTAGAAACTATGTCGTAGTTGCTCTCATTATTTCTAGCTCAACCATCTTCCGAACTCTATATTTGTATCTATGAGCTAAAAGCAGGAACACACAGAAATTGATCAAACTCAACACTGTCAACAACCAGTAAAAGTAATCGAATCGCCCCGTGTTTATGTTCTGAGAAAGCCATGATGGACGCCCCTCAGCTTCGTTACCGGTGATCGACTTCACAATATTGTTTATGATGGTAGCTACAAAGCAGCCAAGACCTCCAGCAACAGCAGCATAGGCCGACCCAATGCTTCTCATGGCATCAGGTGCCTCCTGGTAGAGAAACTCCAGGAGACCCACAATGCAAAATACTTCAGCTATTCCGATCAAGCAGTACTGTATCAGCAGCCAGTATGCACTAAGATTTGGCATTGGAGACAGGAACAGGGCTTCATAACCATGTTTAATGGCATAGTTTCTTCTGTACCTCTCGAAAACACCAGCCCATGCGACCGATAGAATAGATACTGCCAGCCCGAGTCCTACTCTTTGGAGCTGAGATGCACCATGTGGGTGACCAGTGATGCGGCGGGACAAGGGCGCAAATGTGGAGTAGTAGAGGGCCAGGATGAGGAAGATGCTCAGGCCAGGGAATACAGGCATGCAAATAACTGGAAGTTTAAGGTGACCCATATGTGTGTCCATGGTGTATGCTTGTTGCACTGAGAGAGTCAGATACTCCGTCAACACTACGCTAAGCATTATGGTGCACATTGGGATTGGCAGAAGTTTCAGTAGTATCTTCACCTCTTCAACTTGTGTCACCGTGCAAAGTCTCCAAGGGTTAGGGTCCACACCATCCTCTTTCAGGTGCAGAGCTGCCTTATCCAGCCACCTGAGCATCCGAATACAGATCCGTCATCAATGACAATCATATACTGATAACAATACTATAATAGGTATTTGCTCACCCAGTGAAGAACATTTAAATGACTATGTTGACATAAACCTAAAAGATAACAATGATAATAGTAACAAGGTGATCTAAAACATGGGGATTATAGAAAAGCAATTGCAATATCATGCATCCATAGTATGGAAAAATAGTAGTATGCACAAGAAGTACCTAAAGTCATCAGTGTGATCTATCTTCCCACTGCCCTTGATGGCAGAATTTTGACCAGGAAGCTCATAGAGATCAATGGAGTCACTGCTGGATAAGGGCACATTTCTCTTCCGAAAAGCAGCAACAAGTACCTGAGCAACACGTGTAAGAGGGCTACCACCTGGTAACCTATGCCTGTACAAGGGCGTTCCAACAAAGAAAACCACATTTGAAATGGCCATTGCTATAGCTAGAGAAGCAAAAGCAGAACCCCATCCATGTTTCATTTGAATGTAGACAACCATAGTGAAGGCCACAATTGCTCCGACGGTGACGGAAAGATAAAAGAAATTGAAAAACCTGTCTAAATGAGCCTTATAGTCCTTACTTCTCTCGTCAAACTGATCAGCTCCAAAAGATGAGACACAAGGCCTTATGCCTGCAGCCCCAAAAGCTGTAACGTAAAGAACAATGTAAAGGTAAAGCATCTGCCATGATTTCGCTGGTTCACATGTGCCCAAGAGTTTCGATAACTGATAACACTGATCTTGATTTGGTATGAAGACACTCATTGTGGCACATAAAGTTATCCCTATCAATCCCTGCTTATAGAACGGAAGAAATTTCAGAAAAAAAAATTAGCATCTACATACATTACTATCATAGGCAAGTAAACCAAGAAGTCCTAGATGATTCTGATGGAACTTCAAATTGTGTTACTCAAAGGGTAAAAACTCTTGGATAAGTATAAGCATGAACTCAAGGCACATATATGGCATACAGAAGGTGACAACCATCATTATAAATGTATATATATATGTATATGTATATACATATGTATATGTATATGTATATACATATGTATATGTATATGTATATGTATATGTATATGTATGTATATACATATGTATATGTATATGTATGTATATACATATGTGTATATATGTATATATGTATATATGTATATATGTGTGTATACATGTGTGTATACATGTGTGTATACATGTATGTATACATGTATGTATACATGTATATATATATTTATATATATGTATATATTTATGTATGTATATATATATATATATGTATATATATGTATATATATATATGTATATATATGTATATATATATATATATGTATATATATATATATATGTATATGTATATGTATATGTATATGTATATATGTATATATATATATATTTATGTATATATATGTATATATATATACTTCCAAGAGATGAATAAATTAACATGGGCTCAATCAAGTGCCAAACAGATATTTACCAATAGGAGCCAGCTATCTTAGCATCAGGTCCTACTTCCTACTAAAGTCATCTAATACATAGTTTAATAGAATGGTAACTTCATTTAAAACATTAACTACTAAATGTTTATCATGGGCTCAACCACCTAGTACTTGGACATCACAACTGGGAGCATGTTTCTATGGAACACTCATGAGAAAATCAGCATAATGTCAGGGAAAGAACATGCAACAAAGTGATAGAGATGGAGACAATGAGTGGGAAGAACAGTCTCAGCTAAATAATGTTCTCACCACAAGGTAGATAGTCGTGAAGATTGCAATTGTCCAATATCTACCAAGATAAGCATCAGCAATAAAGCCACCAAGCACAGAAGAGATCTGTGATATGCCTAGGAAAGTGTTTACTGCATTAGCTGAACTACTAAATGGCCGGTGCATGATATTAAACATGAATACTACCATATTCACCGAGAGCCCAAAGTAGGCCATCCTTTCTGCCATCTCATTTCCTGCACAAAGTAAGCATCCAAAGTACTATCCATCAGATATAGGACAACAAATGATATAGACTGAAATTTGGGAGAACCTTAAAGAACATGACACTGTACCATTCTTTTCTTTAAAGAAAGCAGGTAAAATCAATAACTCGTGGCAAGTAAAATTTTATTTCAAATAAAAGCAAATGTAGTATGTTGTCTCATTTATAATAAACAACAAATTTCTTTAACTGTATGCATCAAACGTTAGCAACTCTTATACATATGTAATAGGCAAATTCCAACACTAACTTCCCTTGATAGTGTATACATAATCTGCTCTTTGAATCTAACTCTACCAGACACTTCTTTGAATCTAGCTCTGGCTGTATGCACAATCTGCTGCAGAACTCCATTTTATCAGAATTATGGGTAGAGAAATAAATTGTGTTCCTTCCTGTCTAAATCTGATCTACAGAAGCAGCCAACACACACCTCCAAATATTCCACTAGCGAATACATAATCTGCTCTTTGATTCTAACTCTAGTAGACACTTTTTCGAATCTAACTCTCGCTGTATGCATAATCTGCTGCAGAACTCCATTTTATCATAATTATGGATAGATAAATAAATTATGTTCCAGTCTAAATCTGATTTACAGAAGCAGCCAACACACACCTCCAAATATTCTGACTCAACAGATTTTCGTAACAGTATCTTTGAACCATCTGTCTTCCTGCTGTAAATCCATGCGCTGCCTATAAATCCAGCATGCCAGCAGCTTGTTTAATTCCGTCTCAATTGACAACTAATGCATCGACGTTGGTGGTTAATTTCATCATAGAGGAACTCAAGAAGAACACCATCCATACTCCTGCAATTAGATTCTAAAGAAGATATATAAAGGAGTAAACTTGCCGCCCTTTGAGGCCTAATACTAGGTTGTGTCGGAAGTAGTTTGATAGTAGTACCTAAACTAAAGCGCAATTGTCTTGGAATAATGCAAGAGTACAGTAAAAGAGCCATAGTTTCCTTACTGCTTAGCTCCAATTTGATCCAGAAAAATAAAAGATAAGGCACTTCGACAAAGTTAGGCCGACGGACATGCTAACAAAATTAAATCATTCATGGTAGGAATCTCGTACCAAAGATGAAGAAAGCCGCAATCCAGCCTCCGGTCTTTGAAAGATTGTCGATCGGCTTCCCCCATAAATTCACCGGTGCCGTCCCATTAGCCACAGAGTCCCTATTGATTCCCCCTGGCCTCCTCTCATCGCTCTGCGCGAAATGGAACTGAAGATTATTCCGACCCACCACTGATTCCACCCGCTCATCCGCAGGCGACCCTGCCGAAGTACACTCCAGTGACAGGATCTCCTTAGAACCCATCACTCAGAACACCCTCAGGATCTGATCTTTTACCCAAAAATAAGGCATACCCGGATAGCGTAGGCGGCGAAATCCTCCAGATTTTATTCGAACAGGGTTTGGGGGTCGCGCCGACGTGATGGGACGGTCATAAAAGCATTCGGTCTCCCAACTGACAGAGATGGAAGCAATAAATGACAGTAAAAATGGGTCAAGGAGATGGCAAAGATAGGCGCCGCTGATGGCCTCCAACCATGAAGGATGGTTGGTTGGTTCCTGGAATCATCCGCCATCGCTTTCGATGGGGTGGGACAGCAGCAGGAATTACTTTGGCGACGTAGGGCTTCGAGGAAACCAAAAATGAGATATTTTTCAAACCACACGCGGAGATTGTGGAGGAAAGAACCATACAACATAAGCCATTGGCGAGGGTTCATATGACCGTCGACTGATAACAGTGCCGTGACAGAGGGGGCGAACGCCGACGATGAAGCCAATTTAGATTGGACGAACACAAAGGAAGCTACAAATGACAACCTTGCGAGCTCAGAACGTGGCAACAATCGAGGCGTAATGGCACCATTCTGAGATCGACGAGATTGCTGTCGGGATCATTTCTTTCGTGTTTTTTTTCTCTTTCTTTTTTTCCTTTGCCCAATTCTCATTGAGGGATTTCTCGGAAAAAATGAACGTTTTTGTGTGTGTGTGTGTGTGTTTTTAGATTTTGTTAGTAGTATTTTTGTTATTTTAAATATATTCTTGATTTGATAACCAATAAATTATTCTCTTTTTTTCTCTCCCTATCTCTGATTATTTCGACCCACCGGTCCATAGGGTTAAACACTCAAAATACTATATAACTCAATTAGAAAACAGAGAGAAATTGATTCAAAATATATTAAAAAAAGCTTATGAACCTTCCTTGAGTTTCAAATTAAGTATAGTTGTTCATTTAAGAACTTAAACATTTAAATTATTTGATTTCTATATGAGTTACAACATTGGTTATTGTTTTTTTAATATGATTGTGATATTTTTTATATATTTTTATTTTATAATATGGTTATATAGTTTTTGAGGTTACAGTGTATTTTTACTCATTTTGAAAAGTATTTGACATATTTAATTTATATAATATTTTTTATGTCGGATAGTGATATGGAGTATATTGTCAATCAGTCATCATCCAACACATAATTGTCATATGGTGCCTAGGGTGGAAGGAAAAAATGGAGGCAGCCACCCTCCACCCATATTTCCATGTTGGCAAGAGTCCAAGGCAAGTGATTATGGGTCATTCCTCTTTATCGCTCGTATGAATAAGAGAATAAGGAAAAGCAGTTCAAGATAATTAAATGTTATTTCCCCATGAAATATTTTATAGAATATTATATCTCTTTACGACTAGATATAAAAACTCATTTTCAACATAATGAAAAGGGGAGGATCACCTTTGTGACTACTCGCATCCATACTTATATACTTTTGAGATTACTAACTTGGGTGTCGGAGAGACTAGGTCGAAAACCAAACCCTCTCCCGACTTCGGTTTTCATACAAGTAATATCTCAAGAGCTTAACATTTTCACCTCATAAGCACTTCAAACAATCTTGTGCATACAGGTTTGGATTTTATCGAGTGAACCAGGACATCAACAACTTCTTTTGTATCATTTTGATACTAAAAGGAGGGTTTAATATTGTAGAAACGCTCGCTTGTTAACGCTCTCACCAAACACTCGAGCAAGGAAGTTTTACACCTCACCCACCCTTTCCACACATAAAAGCATTCATCTCAGCATAAACGTTAATATGATACTAGTGTCTATTCAATAACTCGGGTCTCTCACCCCTATGGACTTTCTCAAATTACCTTCTCATCCTTGTCGAGATATTCTTGAATCGCACTCAGCAAGTGCAGACGTTGCTCTGCTTTTGCCCCAATTAGATCAACAAGAGATGTCATAAGCTTAGCCATGATTACTAACTCAATCGCCACTAGCATCGGCACCGGTCGAGGTTCCCCCACCTGACATGGTGTCGACATCCTACGAGTGCCCAAGACTCATCTAACTACCAGCCGAGGGGGCACTTCAGCTCTCAACCATAGAATTCAATAAACCACAATATCACTCTACCTTGCTTGAATCTGAGACCCGATTGATGGATTCGATAGAGGATTCTTTACAAATCTAACTATGATAAACAAACTAGCATTTGTAGGAGATGCGACAAGAGTTCCAACAATCAAAAGGGGAAGCATTGGTCAACCTCACTACGAGTCGGTCATTATTCACTCAAAAAATATAGGAGGAATCGATTCAGGCGAACTTTCCCCTCCCTTCATTAGAAGCAAACGATGGCAGTGCCGACCCGACGAAGCATATTGTAGCTTTTCGTGCCCAAATATCATTGTATAGCACTTTAAATGCCTTAATGTCTCTCACCTTCTCAGCCATGCTAAGAGTCCTAACATGAGAAATGTATGCCTGCCTAAAGTCACTTTTCATCAATTATATTGCCCAGCTCATGAGGGATTTTAAACTTTACTTTCTCATGAACGTGCATTTGAGGCCATCAACAATAATGCTTATTGGACTCAACCAAGAGGAGGAACCACTTATAGACTTTGTCGCTCAGTTCACAAATAAAATCCAAGGCATAGTAAATACCTATATATCGTTCATAATATAGACTTTCATGATGGGGCCCAAGCTCTATTGCCTTTTTCGGTCATTGATAGAGAGATCACCAATGACTATACCATGAGTACTTTAAAGGGTCAATCAATATATTATCGTCTAAACAATGGTCTCGAGTGAGAGTGAGGAATCACACAAGAGGTTGAAACAAAAGTGATAACACAAGAGACGAAAGAGAAATGAATGACTCGAGTTATGCTGCCCAAGGTCCAAGCTGATCAAGTTGTCTAGATTAGGATAGCACTTCTTGGAATGAGACAATTGCAACTCATCACCTTTATGTGATAGAAAGGTCGAGGTGTTTCTGATGTTGTCGAGAGACATGTTAGAAATTGACTTCAACGTAGTTCAACATCACCTAAACATTTCTCCTAAGGCGTAAAGGTCAAAAAACCTAATGCCCTCCTCTGTGAAGCCATAGTAGTCAACAAACCTGACCAGGTTAGGAAAATACAAGGAGGTCAAAAAACCCAACCACATCCAACAAGGTGCATCCCTCAATGATACGAGGGGTAGGTCGACGATGGATCGTCACTAGTAGCACTCAGGCATGATAAACTAGATGTACCAAATATGCCACAAGATTGACAAGGGATCAAAGAGGTATAAGTTTGATATGCCGAACAAACTAAACACCATATTTTAAATCTCTCTTGCAAGAGCCTTGAAGCATGCCTTGAGGGGATAACTAATAATGAGTACATTGTCAGCTAATCGACATCAGACGTGATTATCATATGATGTTCAAGGTAAAAGGAGAATATAGATGCCACCCTCCACTTGTCTGACCATATAGATAAAGGTCCAAGACAAACAGTTATGAACCATCTCTCTCTTGTCGCCTTATAGATATGAGACAAAGGGGAAGCTGTGAAAGACAATTAGAAGCTACCTCCATGTAGAATATTTCATATAATATTCTATCATTTGCAATCAAGTAAAAAACTCATCTTCATCACAATAAAATGGGGAGGATCACTTTTTTTTTATCATTTGCGTCCACACTCATATACTTCGGGAGTTAATAACTTAGGCGTCGAATGAGCCGAATTGGGAAACCTCTCATAACCTTAAGTATTCGTATAAGTGGTACATCGTGAGCTCGATGTTTTCACATCAGATAACCCTATGTATACGAGTTCGGACTACGTCAGGCTAACCATGACGTCAATGACTTCTTCCCATATTAAATGGTATCACTAGCTATAACTATTTTACATGTTTTAAATATAACATAGAATGTTGAAAGCTTTTATAGCTTCTCGTGGAGGGAGGAGAAGGACGAGGAGAAAGAGCAATAAAAAGAGGTGAAACAAAATGAGATGAGGAAGATGGTGATATAGATGTCGACACTCAACAATTACACCGATGTTCAAATAAAAAGCAATAAAAAGATCGAAGATATACATAAAAACTATAAAAAAAATCAAAGATAACCGAAATTATTCCTTAATAAAACTTATTATCGTTCTGATTATACACAGGCGGTAAATAAGATGCTTAATTTCTTGTAATAAAAATTATAAAAATTAAAAAATGATAATTACCATGTGAAAAGTTAGAAAACATGAAGCCTTAATGAATCACGACAATTATACGCTATTGGGGAGAGATTAATGATTTTAGAAATCCGAAAGTCTATGATTTGACATTAATTATTTATATCCATAAAAAATAAATTCTTTACAAACGTGAGATCAACTCATGATATCGATTGACTTGACAATCAATTCAATATGATTTGACATTCCTTTTCTTCATTCTATCAAATTAACTATAAACTCAATCATGAAAAAATCCTACGCACATCATTTTATACAAATTTCAAAATAATTTTTTCATCTTTTCTCTTACCTTTTTAGATTTACTAAAAAAAACACAGTATATTTTCAGATAATGAAACTTTTATAAAATATTTAAAAGAGGCAACCATGCATTATTTAGAATTTTCTATCGATGACTAACGAGACAATTATGACATTCGTTGACAAGAGTCACCGTCAATTTTAATTTACATCACTTATTTATACTACGTAAGAACCAAAAAAAGAATTATGGAGGTAATTTTATTTTGTGTCAGTCAGTCAGCATATGTTAAGTGATATTTAAATAATAATAATAATAATAAATACAATAAATCACTGTGTGTATAATTCATCCAGAATTATTATTACACGTAACCATCCTCATTTCGAGCACCGCATGGCTTTGTTAGTAAATCACACGACTTATTTCTACCTTTGCCAAAGCTTATAAATGGTGATATCATGTGGAGCCCATCAGGGCCCCACTTCGGCATCGGATAAAAGGCCTTCCTTCCGCCTTCACCCGCCTCGAGTCTCGAGCCGCCGAAGGAAAATTTTCAAATCCCTCCTGTCTTTTCGAAACCCCGCGCCTTCTCTCCTCCTCCTCCTCTCTCTTTCTCTCTCCCCTCTCATCTCCTTTCCCCATTTCCGTCCCTTTATATCCCTCTCCCCTTCCCCCCAAACCCTAACCTCGCCCAATTCCACCTCCACCACTCCGATGACGATCGATCTCCCTTGCGACGGCGACGGCATCTGCATGGTTTGCAAGGCGGCGCCGCCGGAGGCGGAAATGGTGCACTGCTGCACCTGCGCCTCCCCCTGGCACGCCCAGTGCTTGTCCAAGCCCCCCGAGTCCATGGCCGTCGTTGCCCGGTGGCAGTGTCCCGACTGCGACGCGCCCGAAGAGGGCTTCGTTTCTGCCCCGGCTGCCGCTCCGTCGGGCGGAAACGCCGAACTCATCGCCGGCATACGGGCTATCGAGGCCGATGGACTGTTGACGGAGGCGGAGAAGGCTAGGCGGAGGCAGGCGCTCCTTGGAGGCGGCGTGGCTGCCGCGCAGGTTGACGATGAGGAGGAGTCAAAGAAGAAGAAAGGAAAAGCGAGTGACGATGTTCTTGAGCTACTCGACGAGAAGTTTAATTGCGCCTTCTGCATGCAGCTGCCGGAGCGCCCCGTAACTGTGAGAAAACTTCTTCCGCTGTTTATGTGATTTTCATGCCAAATTTGTTGACTTCATGAATGCTGAAGACCTGGTTAAAGATGGGGATGTCTAGCTGTTGCTCTACATGTTGACTATTCTTTTTCATGGAGCAATACATTTAAAGATTTTCGATTCTATGTTTTCCCCCTCCTTTCAGTTTGTTCTAGCCTCGTGTAAACGTTCTTCATCCTTTATAGTAATCTTTGCTGATTCATTTGAAATAAATGAATTCTGGGATCCATGTGTATATGTGTCCTTTTTATTCGATTACTGTAAATGAAATTCTTTCAATTAATTTCTTATAATTGTTTTGTTTGGTCCGTGAGCACAATTTTTGGTTTAGCCATATTCAATGGGTAGGATAGATGTAGACCTTCATATTAGGTCTTGTTAATGGCTTTCTTGCCGGCAACGGCTATGTCAATCAATGTTTGGCATGGTGTATCCCATCTGTGTGTTTGATGTGCAAAAACATATTGATAAAACATGGTTTGTGGCTATCAAAACAAGAAGTCCAATACCTAGAAAAAAAAAAAGTAATGGGAACAAACAAATAGTTGACCATGACCTCATGCTTCTCCTTGGGTTTCCTTGCATTGATATGACCATATATTCTTTTCAGTTGTGCAAACTATATCACTCAAACTGATTCGAGGACACTAGTATTATGGAAGCAAGTGAGTTATGGTCTCTCTCATATTTGATAAATAATAATGAAAATAACTATATTTATTTATACAAGCATGACATGCTTGTGTAATTTGGAGTGTTGTCTTGGAACCTATTATGTCATTTTGACTGAGTTATGTATTGAATGACATCAATAATTATGCATCTGGCAGGTGCTTTTGATTATCATGTTCATAAAGAAGGGCTAAGGAATGAGCCTAGGTCAGTATTGTGTATTAGACTACATCCATTACTTGCAGTCTTCTGGCCATCTGATGGCTATGGTTATAGTAAATTCTGAGTTTATATTGTATTATTATGATGCTTCATTTAGTTTGAAGTATCTGATAAGAATCTCAAACTGAATAACCCTTCTTGGTAAGGTTTGGGCCAATGTTTTTTTTTTTTAATTTCATCAGACCAGATGTGTAATTGCAAATATTGTAAATTTGGGATCCACTTATTGTATTATTATGTGGCATTTGACGTGCTTCCAAGTGGATAATGTGATTAATTTGGCTATTGTTATTCAGTTTGTAAACTTTTTGCAATATGTTCACAACAATGATACTTATAATTCAGCTGAGAAAAGCCTGACTTTGGCTCAAGAATTTATGCAATTCATTTGGTTGCTTCTGTAAATAAAATAGAGACCACATTGGTATTTCTTGATAAATATTTTGTTATTAGAAGTCTTGAAATTTCCTTGAATTTGTTTGTGTTGTTCACAAAGCTTATAATTATATTATTACGGTTGATTTTAAATCTTTTTGAAATTTGAAATGTGCTGATATCTGTAGGTTCGTAATGTCCATCATTGTAATAAGTTTACCTCTCAAGGACTGCTTGATAGCCAGTGAAGATAAAGGCTGATTTGCCTCAATTAATCGCCACTGTAATGAGAGTAAATACTTTCCATATATGTTTTGGCAATATTAGATTCTAGTAAGACTGGGATGGCAAGAAGTCTCATGATTAGTGATCTCACATGGAATTTTGACTGCTCCCTTACATACATGTCTAAGCTTGTTTATCCTATATTATTAACTGTAATGTTTTTTTTACATAACATAACATACCTTTTCTCTCTTCTTTTTCTGATCTTGCAGACACCATGTGGTCATAATTTCTGTTTAAAATGCTTCCAAAAGTGGGTTGGTCAAGGTAAACTCACATGCGCAAAGTGCCGTTCTCCTATCCCATCTAAGATGGCAATGCAACCAAGAATCAACTCAGCACTTGTTGTGGCTATTCGTATGGCAAAGACTGCAAAGTCAACCAGTGGTGTCTCGTCACCTGTGTATCATTTCATTCGAAATGAAAACAGACCTGAAAAGGCATTTACTACTGAGAGAGCTAAGAAGGCTGGCAAAGCAAATGCATGCAGTGGGCAGATCTTTGTTACCATTCCTCCTGACCATTTTGGTCCCATACTTTCTGAATACGACCCAAAAAGACATCAAGGTGTTTTGGTTGGTGAAACATGGGAAGATCGAATGGAGTGCAGACAATGGGGTGTTCATTTACCACACGTGGCAGGGATTTCTGGGCAGTGTGATTATGGTGCTCAATCTGTTGCACTTTCCGGAGGATATGAGGATGATGAAGATCACGGAGAATGGTTCCTTTATACTGGCAGGTGCTTTCTCTGTGTTCAATTGGCAATACATTCTTGGTCCAAAACATAGTTTTCAAATTTGACTATTTTATATTGGCATTGGTTTTTCTGGATTGGGAAATTTTACTTTCAGAAGTTATTCATTTCACTTGGTGTTAACCAAAGTAGAGAAAAAGAAAGAATACTTGTTCCCCCTCCGTGTTCTCCACTTGCTGCTATTAAGTTGCTGCATTTTCTTATCGCTATGCTGTGGTCACAATTTTTGGATAATTCAAACAATAAACAAACAATATGAATTATTTTTTGTGTCAAATGCCTTTCATATAATACATGTCAAAACATCTATATAACGAATAAGAAAAAGTAATTAGGAAAATTCATAATGATATTATTATTATTTTTGTATAAAACCGTTGACCAAATTTGTTCTTAATTCTCATATTGTGAACTATGAGTTAAACTTAATATGCAAGTGCTTTTCGATTTTCCTCCATGACTTGATGTAAAATATGAACAAGCATTGTTTCAGTTTACGAACAAATCCATCACTGATTTTACTCTCAATTGTCTTTTTTTACTTGCAACTTTATACCATATATGTGCTCTTTTGATGTTCTTGTTGCAAGTTGACAGTGGTGGGAGAGATTTAAGTGGAAACAAGCGCACAAACAAGGAGCAGGCCTTTGATCAAAAGTTTGAAAAACTTAATGCAGCGTTAAGAGTTAGTTGCTTGAAAGGATATCCTGTACGAGTGGTGAGGTAAGTGTTGCTGTCCAGGAAATTGCCCTCTTGTATTCTTCTGTTGCTCATGTTTTGTGAATTCACATGAGCATTATTTCCGAAGAATTTGGTTTTACATAGATTATTTTGTTAATGGGTTTGTTTGAATGTCACATCTTTACTGGTTAATTCTGTACTTCCAAATATTTGGTTGGATCAGGGTGGTGTAAGAATGTGGTCATAGAATAGGGTAGTTAATTTAAATCTATAAGATTGTACTACTAGTCTGCTAGATGCAATTCTCAATTTATTCATTGACTTCATATTTTCTTTCTGGGAAGGTCTCACAAGGAGAAGCGCTCATCATATGCTCCTGAAACTGGTGTACGTTATGATGGGATATACAGGATTGAGAAATGTTGGCGAAAAGTTGGGATTCAAGTATACGTTTACTTCATATTAGCACACTGTATTTTCTTAGCATTAGTATTTGTTTTGTTGAGCTAGTAGAGGCAACTATTCTACAGTTGATAGTGTTCATGTTTTCATAGGGCTTCAAGGTCTGTAGATATCTTTTTGTTCGATGTGATAATGAGCCAGCACCATGGACCAGGTTCTGCATTGTTTTACGCATACACTATCAGTGTCATAATTTCATGTGCTAGAATTTTCTCCTTTAAACTGAAAATCATTGTATTTGGAATTTAGTGACGAACACGGTGATCGCCCTCGGCCTTTGCCAGTCATTAAAGAGCTAAAAAATGCAACGGATGCTGCTGTAAGGAAGGAAACTCCGGCATGGGATTATGATGTATGAGTTTGTTCTCTTTTTCACCTTTACATTCTCTGGCAGTGAACTTGGTTTGATTGATTATTGACTCCCTGCCTATCACTCCCGTTCAATTCCTATTTCAGGAATAAGTCATGAGATGTGTTTTAACTTGCATGTGTCAATTTTTTTTTGTTTTCTTAAAAAAAAAGCAAGTAGTAATTCTTGTATTTTACTTAAGTATAAATTATGGAGCTGCTTGAATTTATTCTCAATGGTGCCTACTGCCTTAACAGGAGGAACATGGCTGGAAATGGATGAAGCCTCCACCAATTAGTAGAAAGCCTATATTCAGTGGTGATGAAAGAAAATCTGCCAAGAGGGCTGTAAAGCATGTCCAGAATATGTCCGTAAGGGAGAGGCTCTTGAAAGGTCTGCAAATTTCAGAAAGTGTTGCTTATATATTGGTCTCATTTATTGTACTTAGAGCAGTTCCTTTGAACTTGCAGAATTTAGCTGTCTTGTGTGCCGGAAAGTAATGACTCTGCCACTGACTACTCCTTGCGGTCACAATTTCTGTAAGTCTTGCTTGCTTGGAGCATATGCTGATAAGTCCTTTGTCCGTGAAAGGACCCGTGAAGGCGGTCGTTCCCTTCGAGCACAGAAAATTGTTAAAAAATGTCCATCTTGTCCGATCGATATATCTGACTTTTTACAAAATCCCCAGGTAACTTAGTCAACCATAAGCAATTATGTATTGCTGCATAATAAAAAATATGCAAGAATCTCAATTGCTGAAAATTATGTTTGCTCCAGGTCAACAGGGAGTTAATGGATCTAATAGAGTCACTTCAAAAGAAGACTGCAGAAGAGCAGCAAAGTGAGGAGAGCAGTGACATAGTAGAGAAGTCCAGCGAGGATGAATCTGATGCTATGGAGAAAAAGTTTCCGAGCGAAGGTGGGAGCAACAATGTAGAGAAAGCAACTGGGAGCGCAGAAGGCAGAGACAGCGTGGAAGAAAACAATCTTGAATCTATAGATGGTGACTCAGATGTTAATGTTGCCAATTCTGAGTCTGAGGAAGCAGGTCTGAGCAATGCAAATGCAGTTAACGAGGCAAGTGGAACAAACTCTCGGCCTTCATGCAAACGAAAAAATGCTGTTTCTCGGTCATCAGGTGTCAAGAAGGCACAGAACGAAGAGGCCACTGCTATGGACTCTGAGTCCTTCAATGCTGAGAAATCTGATGCCGTTGGAAAGGTAAAGGTTGACAATTTAAGCTCTGAAATGGAGCAAGATATCAAGGAACATGTTCCTGGCCAAGTCAGTGAAGCCAAAGGTTTTGCTTATCGCAAGCAGAGCAGCCCTGCACCGAAGAGGGCTAGAAAGGGAAAGTAATGATGCTTAGGTTGACCCTTTGTGATCATGGGTGTGGAGCTTGAAAAGGCTCCATTTTGTTAAAACGCCCTTTTGTCCGCTTCTTTCTCATACAAACATATGAAAGGGAGTGGTGTTTTTGGATGTCATTGGCATTTTATCAGGTTGAAGATGATGCATATATAGCATCTTAAGCACTGTTCGTGACAGTTATTTTTGAACATGGTGTTATAGTGCCCTATATTTTCGCCCTTTGGGCATCTTCAAAGTGGGTAGACGTTCAAGACCGGGCATAATGGCCCTTCGTTTTCTTTGATGACGATGGAATGATTACGGCCCAAATTGACTTTCAGCGAGTCAAATTGATTTTCTTCAGTGATGCAAATCTCCGTTCGTCTTGAAAAAAAATTTATGACATTATTTACACCTTTTGCTTATGCTCGAAAAATATTAGAATATAGGAGCCTGGTTTTGATCCTGAGACTTGTGGGGTAATAGAAAAACTATCAGAGCCAGGTTTCGATCCTGGGACCTGTGGGTTATGGGCCCACCACGCTTCCGCTGCGCCACTCTGATTTGTTTTTATTTGATAGCAATACATATTTATATTGATATCCTTATATGAATTTTTTACGACAAACCAAGTGAGAAAGATAAACATTATCAGAGCAAGGTTTCGATCCTGGGACCTGTGGGTTATGGGCCCGCCACGCTTCCGCTGCGCCACACTGATATGTTTGTTTTTGTTAGCAATAAGGTTTTATTGATACTATAATATGAATTTTTTTTAATATCTAACCAAAAAAACTATAAATAAGAAAGATTAATATTATCAGAGCCAGGTTTCGATCCTGGGACCTGTGGGTTATGGGCCCACCACGCTTCCGCTGCGCCACTCTGATATGTTTGTTTTTGTTAGCAATAAGGTTTTATTGATACTATTATATGAATTTTTTTTTATCACCAACCAAAAAAAATGTAAATGAGAAAGATTAATATTATCAGAGCCAGGTTTCGATCCTGGGACCTGTGGGTTATGGGCCCACCACGTTTCCGCTGCGACACGCTGATATGTTTGTTTTTGTTAGCAAGAAGTTTTTATTGATAATATTATATCAATTTTTTTCTATCACCAACCAAAAAAACTGTAAATGAGAAAGATTAATATTATCAGAGCCAGGTTTCGATCCTGGGACCTGTGGGTTATGGGCCCACCACGCTTCCGCTGCGCCACTCTGATATGTTTGTTTTTGTTAGCAATAAGGTTTTATTGATACTATTATATGAATTTTTTTTTATCACCACTCGAAAAAAACTATAAATAAGAAAGATTAATATTATCAGAGCCAGGTTTCGATCCTGGGACCTGTGGGTTATGGGCCCACCACGCTTCCGCTGCGCCACTCTGATTTTGCAAGGACAGCAAACAAACTTGACTTGGGAGCAGAAAGTAGTGTTGCTACGTAACTTGATACTTAAGCGCATAGTGAATTCAGCAAGTCCATTCTCAAGCAACACTGGCACCAAAAGATACTCTACCTTTACCGCCAGCTGTTTACTTACTTTACTTTTACTTTATTCTTTGATGTAATTCCTTTGTTCTCATCATAACTCATAAAATTTTTAACTCCATGTGATCGTGAATTCTCACCCCAAAAAAAAACTTTTTTTTTATTTTCAAATTTTTTTTTGAATTCTCTAACAACACTCTCCTTTTTTCTTTTGTCTAATATCTAAAAATACCTCCACTCACTTACCCCCCCCCTTTTTTTTTTCTCAATTTCTCTTTTTTTTTCTCTAGGCTTGGGACATGAGGTGAACCGATCAGTACAATGGATGCACAAGGCCGAATACGTTCGAGATATGTAAGTTAGAAAAATCCGATCGGGACTAAAAGAAATTTGCTACGATGGAGACGCAAGGTCAAATATGCCCGAGATGTGTAAGTTAAGAAAACTTGATTGATATCGAAATAAATTTATTGCGACAAAAGTGTAAAGTCGAATGTGCTCAAGATGCATGAGTCAAAAAATTTGTTATGATAGAGGAATAAGACCAAATGCACATGAGATGCGTAAGTCTAGAAAACACAATCTGCATCGAAATAAATCCGCTACGAGACACGAGGCTAAATATGCGTGAGACGCATGAGTTGAGAAAACCTGATCACTTTATTAAAATATTTTCGATAATACTGGAAAAACATTACAACACAAAACAAAAACATTATAATACAAATGTATTTGTATTGTGTTGTAATATTTTTTTAGTATTCCTGAAAAAACTAAAATTTTATAAACATATTACAAAATTTATACCAGAACACTATGTTATGGTTTTTGTTTTTTTTTTTTGCTACATTACATGTATTACATGTATTACATTACATGTATTACAGGGAAAAATGTATTACATGTATTAGATAAAAGAATGACACCGTTAGGTAATTTTAATAACGAGGGATCAGTCGATAGGAAAAACCTAAAAAGATGAGTTTTTTTTAATAATTCGCTCTAAGATCAATTTAAACATAACATGCGATTAATTGATTGTATTTGAACTCTTAACTCCTTTGTTCTCATCATAATCCATACACTCAGAAAACACAACACGGTGTTTCTTTTCATGTTATGTAAGATTCGGAGATGCTTTAAAGGATTTAAAGAAAGAGTAGAATCGCTCATCGATAACATAGAAATCAACAGACGATTACACTTTTTAACTTCAATGTTTTCAGAAAGAAAAAAATAATACATGCAACGGAAAATAAATAAAAAAAGGAAACAAATGATTTAATTAGTATTTTGTACTGTGTTTTTTGCCCCACCAATAATAATAGCAAGACGAGGAAAGGCATCAGTAAGTTGGATGGGTCAACGCGTCCAAAGCCGTCGTCTTAGCCGAAGCCGCCTCGTGGTCCGCCGTGTAAGGCGCCTTCGCGGTCAACCTGCACGTTTAGCATCGATCAAAACTAGGACTGTGACGTCGACACTGGAGTCCTTCGTCAAAGTGCACGCAAGCCGACGACGTTTACCGACCAAATCTTCTCTTCAATCATGAGAGAGAAAGGTTGGCCAACTTCAGCTTACCCTTCAGAGTAATGTGAACGCAAGCGGTATGATCGTCTCTCAAAAGACGCAACGCAATTAAGCACACAAAAATAATAATAACAAAACCAAACACTATATAGTTAGCGATAATTACCTCTGTTGGCGTTTCTCGAGGAAGCGTTGCAGCGATTTCTTCCGGGGAATGGGCAGCAGCTCTGCGAACAAAAAGAAGGCTTCGATTTGAGTCCACCCACAGAAATCTTACTCGGGAATGTACACGCCGTCGGCCATTTACCTTCGTTGAGTTGCGCCAGCAGCCTGTAATCCATGGTCCTCTCCGCCAGCTTCATCACTGCCTCCGCCTGAGTCGTATTCCGTACGTAAAACAAGGTTTCTTTTCGGTAGAGGATAAAAAGGAAGAGAGGGAGGGTAAGAAAACCTTCTCCTGCGCGAGGTCGAAAACGGAGACTGTGCCGTTGTAGAAGATCGTCAGTGGCGCCGATGAAGAATCGCTCTCGGCCGTAGCGACTGACCTAAAAGAAGAGCACACGAGCTTTTTGAAGGTTGGTCGACGCGCGTAAAAGAAGTAGCATTCGAAGCTAGCGGCGGCGAGAAGATGATATCTAAAGACTTTGACAGATTATCCTCTGTTTTTCGAATCTCGCTCGCTTTGATCATTTATCCTTTGTAATAAAGTGACACGGATGGATCTACAACTCGAAGAGAGGTCGTAAGGCCCTCGTTCGAATTCAGAACCCAAAGTCTTTGACATGTTATGATAAGATTATGTATGGGTTCGAATCTCGCTTTGATCATTAAAAGAAAGAACAAATTAACGCTCACCTGCACGACGGATCCAAAATCGGATGCGGCGGCGGCGGCGAGGGGAACAGCTGCCTCGACGGAGGCGGCAGGGTGGAGGCGATCACTCTACGCAGGAGCTGCGGGTCGATCTTCGAGATGGCGCTCAGCTTGGCGCCTGAAACGTAATCCAACCGACAAAGCCATGAGCCGATCGATCGCATAGATCAAGCGAAAGGGGAGACGGCAGCTGACCTCGGGCGCAGGATCTCGTCTTCTCCATCGCGAAGAAATCGAACATCGTGTTGGCTCTCGACATCGCTCCGTCTTCGATATCTTGTCCGCCGGACCTGCTGTGGGAAAAGCTAAAGCCGATGCTTCTGACAGCGAGACCAGAACGAAAGCTGCAGCCTGCAGGAGGATAGACCGCAAACAAGCCCTTATCGACTTCGTGTACCCTTTTATAATTGAAATGGACTTCGTGTACCCTTTTATAATTGAAATGGGATTGGAGATGGGAAGGAAGGGGACAGGGAGTCATGCCGACGACCAGAGAAACGTGCGTGGCGAGGACGTACGTGTTGGAATGGGCATTGGACGCGTCTAGCGGCGACGTCAGGAAAGGGTCATTAATGTACTGCGAGCAGTACTGCAGAAAAGACAGCAGAGGTCGACGGGCGGTGGTGAACCATGCACGAAGCTTTCGAGCTCGGAAGACGCACGATCGAAGCTCGTCTTCCGCGTGGGAAGTAGAAAAATAAGTCGTCTGATGCAGGTGGCGAGAAGCTGCCGATCGCGGCCACGAAGGTGGGAAGCAAGTGGAGGTACCGACGGACGGTAGGTCGCAACCAAAGCGGCATGACATGGCCACGTTTTCCTACCGCGTTCTTCTTTCAACTGGTACGGTGAAAGATGAGAGCAATCGACTCCTACCGACGAATAAAGGAGCCCCCTTTTTTCCGACCTTTGACTGGCCGCAAAGAAACCATGGAAAGTCGCCACTTTCCAGTAAATCTCTGTCTGTCCGCAAGGAAAAAGAAAAGCTTGGGAGGTGCCACTTGTCTTCAAAGTCGCTAAAGCCTACGGTTGTCCAAAGAACAAACATATCTATACATGATGACAGCATCTAACGTGGACTACTCAGCCTATACGAGACCGACCACGTGATAAAAAGCCAAAATAACAGAGATATCGACCGATATAACATCACAGAATGATTGGAAATCTGAATTGAGAAGTGCACGATTTGTTATAAATAATAATAATAATTAAAAGATAATAAAATAAAATAAAATAAAAATATTAATAAAAAAAATATGATCTCGTAACGCAGAAAAAGAACTCAATTCATTCATTCTTGAATTTCTATTGTTTCTTTCTTTTATTTCATATGCAATTTTTTAGTTGACATAAATATGAGTAAGTCTCTGATATTTCCTTTCAATATGCGCATATATTGGTTAGGAAAACGAATAGAGGTCATTGCATCAGATACATGATCGGTTACAAACTACATGGAATTCCTTTATTAGATTCACAACCTCTATCGAGTTCTTCTAATATCGATATGATACTTAGCCTATTAATAAATAACATTTGTCAATAATATTGGATGTTAAATCTATACCGATAAAAACATAATAGTCAATTCAAGCTATTACCTCATAACCATAGTTATGATGATTTAACTTATGATCTCGTCGACTCATCGATGTTCAAAAAATTCATGTAACTATTCTCGACATTATCATCGCTTCGACTCAACGACCAACCTAACACACTATAAAAAGGTCAAGAATTTTGAAACTTACTTACTATATTGGTTCTTCCATATTCAATAAAGATAAAAATGGTGTATATTCAGACATTAAAAGAGCGAGATCATTCTTTTTATAATATAATTCTTTGACTATTTGTAGTTTGTACACATAAAGTAATTGGATTGGAATCTTCAAACTATTCTTTCTAACTCCTGCTGGTGAGAGGATGGCCGATTGATGTCCCATAGCGTGTGTGTCATGTGGTCTAGAAATCCTTAGTTTAATGACCTCTGTAATAGGTCTGTTGCACCTCTGGATACCTTAATCCCGACACCCACTTCCAACTTTTTCTCTTTTCTCATTGCATGGCTGAGATTCTAGCAAATGATGCTCAAGATGCCGCCGTTCACTCCTTCCCTGTGTCCTCTCCGCCCCCTTCTCCCTGCCGCCGACGGCCGTGAAGCCGTTCACCCACTGCCGCCTCCAGGAAGAACCCCAACTATGGGGTCATGACACCACTCTCAACTTTCCAGCACTATTTGAGTTGGGACTTACCAACTCCAAATAGATATCGACGTACCAAGAAGAGCCCAAGGAAATGGAGAATCAGTCCAGGGAAGAGTATATTGGATCCTTAAGAAGGCATCTCTCTCTCTCTCTTTATATCTCATGTTACAAGACAGGTATTTATTGCACTGTGCAGGAAAAGCAGGTGGTGGTTCTCAAGAGGAGAGTCTCAAAATACATGACATCTTTTTGCTTGTTCTGAATCTTATCAAATAGGATAAACATGCATTAAACTTACGTTTGACTTGGTTGAATCTGTTGCTATTTATCTGCAACAGATTCAAATATCATGCCCACCAGAACATGAGCATTTTTATTGGGATTCTTTGATCCAACACACAAAAGATTTATATTTCCAACATATTCTCTTGTTGTTTATCTTAATGTTTACTCGGATTGGTCGGGTTTTTGGCAACAAGTACGTTTTATCTAGGAACTTATAGTAGGATTCTCCTCCTAAAATTATAGTAATAATAATAATAATAATGTGATTAACATGAAACAGAATTGATGATTTATGTTCTGAGATCAGTACATTTCTGAAATATAAAGGCATTGATCAAATGACAGCTTTAGCTTTAGCTTTAGCTGTCCATCATAAAAACTGTTAGTGCATAGTATAGACAAGCATTTGATATGATTTATGATGATGTTGAGCAGCTGGATCAGTTGACCCACCACCATCCAAATCTGTATTCCTTCTCATGCAGATGCATGAAGGTTGGGGCTGCCATGACTCAATTCTGGTTAGTTGGGAGTAAAAGAGAAGAAGAAGAAAATGTTGACTTTTGTATTATTATTTTTTATGTCAATTTTATGGCATTTACGATATATTTTTATAATCTTAGCGAGATAAATAAAGTCAACAGGTGAAAAAAAAAATACAATATACTAAATTTTTCATAAACATTTGATGTGTTTTTATATTTAGTAACAATATTATCTTTTAGAAGTTAACTAGTGATGAAAGAAAAAAATGCTAATGGATGAGGATGCAGTGAGAGTAATTGTATGTAACACTTGATATTTTCATTATTATTATCATGGTGTTTTTATTATTTTTTTAACCTTAAATTTTTTTTTATTTAAAAATGTATTTGATTTTATTATAGGAATAAATGAAGAATATTAAGGCACAACATCCTAAACGAGCAACAGTTAGTATTCTATTAACTGAAGATAGATATCATCTCTCAAATATTAGGACCAGAGAAATCAAGATATATTCGATGTTATGATTTTTGTTATTTTTATTTTTATTTTTTGATATTGTGCTATTTAAAACTTTCAAGAGAAAAGTTCTTTGTTTGCATCTGTATATAACATTGGATAAACGTCAATACTGGTTCTATGATTTTTGTACAAATTGATTTGGATAAATATACTTATTTAAATATAGTAATTTGTATACTATTGTGGGTTGTCCTTCATTGGATAAATATACTTATTTATATAATTAAATAATAATAATAATACTAAAATATGTGAAATTATTATAATTAAATAACTATAGTAACAATAAAATGGTTGTCTTTTTCAGGTTAAAAGTATATATTATTGCACTTGAATAATCATAGCAATAACTAAATTAATATTGTGATTTTTATTTTTAGGATAAAATTATCTATTACCGTAATTATGGATCGACGGTTATGTATGAACTATTAATATTTTTTATATTTATTAAAAAAATCCATTACTAAGCTTATATAGACCTTAAATAAAAACCATAGCTACAAATATAATTTGTTGTGGTGTCATTTTCTATTTTGTTCTAACCATAAGATTAGGTCTCTTTAATTATTATTATTGTTTTAAAATTAATTTGTATTAATTATATTAAACTCCAAATAAAATATTTTCCTATAAATTGGAACGTGGGACACATTAATTATAGAATAACAATCCACTAACCACTATAATATCTCAATAAAAAAAATCATTCTTATTTTGACACTATAATAATAATAATATGTACTAATCATTAAGATTGATGGCGTTGGACGATAATACAATAACCACTACGATACGATATATGACAACGACGGACTAACTCGCGCATCAGAAGACATCAGGTTGTACGTCACACTTTCCATCGAATCATTGTGGGGTGATGACTCCGTGATCTCACGATTAATAATACAGACCGCTACCGATGTCAGAATCGTCATTTAGTGCCAAACCCGAGGGCTTTGGTTCTTCCCATGCTGGGCTTCCGCCGGCGACCGTCGGATGAGGACCCCTGAAAGGAGATCGACGGTTCCGATTGGCTCACGAGAACCCGACAAACCGAGCCGGATCGGTCGGATTATAGAACCGGGGGGTTCCGGAAACGAACCACGCACGGGTCCCTCTTAGCTCTGGTCCAAGGAACGGACGAGCGTTGGAGCGAGCAAAAAGGAGTGGTGAGAGAAGGGCATCAGAAGCTGAGGTCCTCCTCTCCCCTTCCCTTCTTGCTCTCTAGATCACGCCTTTTGCTCACTCTTTTCTCTCCTGCTGTTGTTTGCTTTGATTTAGTGGGTTTTTTTCGATGCATTGGTCTAACTAGTTTGGGGAAAATCTTTCCTTTCATCTTCTTGGATTTTTCCTGGTGTGATTTGGGTGCATTTTGCCCCAAATCAGTCGCTGGTGTCTTCCCGATGTGATCAGAGTACAAAAAGATGGGTTTTGGTTTGATTTACCGGCTTCGATATCCGATCTTTCCTGGATTTATTCGCCAAAACAGCGATTTTACTTTTCTATCTAGGTCGGGAGTAGATCTGGGTTCGGGTGCATTTCTGGTGGAGTCGGTGGCGATAGCTAGATGAAAGGTGGGATCTTTAGCTCGGTTCTTATGGCATTTCTGGTGGTGTTCGGTGGAACTTAGCTACAGATCTGGGTGGGTGTTGTGCTCTTTTTGCTGCTGACACTAAGCTCGGGAAGAAGAAGGTCTTGTTTTGCCATGACTTACTTCCCGGAGGAAGTGGTGGAGCACATCTTTGACTTCCTCGTCTCGCACCGGGACCGTAACGCCGTGTCGACGGTGTGCAAGGCATGGTATCAGGTAGAGCGGCTCAGCCGCCGGAGCGTATTTGTCGGCAACTGCTATGCGGTGCTGCCGGAACGAGTAATGACCAGGTTCCCTGGAATGAAGTGCCTCGT